CGCAAAGAAATGTAGTAAACTGTTTTGTAATTAAAAGGTGCTGCTAAAATGTTTTAGCAGAGTCCAGTGAATATCCATTTGGCTTAGTTTCTTCTTCTCTCTTTTGCCTCTTGTTGTAAGGTATTTAACATCAGTGATTAAATCCACACAGAAATTGAGTCTCAAATAGTGTTGACAGTTAGTATTTACTAACTTAATATATGATGTTTTCGTAATGCAAGCGGTGACAGTCATTTTGAATGCTCTGTTGGTAATATTTTGTATTGTGTATGTATTTTCTATTTATATTTTGATGTTTAAAATTTAAGAATATATATTTTGCGCGAGATTGTTGCAGGTCCATTTCTCCTTAAGTACTTAGTTGCAGCGAATGGTTCAGGTGTGGAGGTTTGATTGCCTAAGATACAGGATAGTTTCACGCAGTTTCTCAGCGACCAGCACTATCAGAGTATGATCCGCGGTGATGACACACGGGGCCGAAATCTAAAAACCGAAAGGTCAAGTTGCAGAACGGACGAAATTCTTGTAAAAGAAATTCTGTAACCACGTATCGTTTTACTGCGATGTTATGAAAGTTATATTGACTGAGCAGCTGCTTTCATCTTTACAATCGACTTGATTCATTTTAACAAGTTTCAAGGTCTTGATTGGTTCAGTGGTTTTTACGGAGTACTCATTAATGTCGCAATATCAGCGGTCGAAAATTTGCATAATTATCGCAGTGCTAGTGAGATGACATAATTATATGAAATGTGCCCAGTAGGTGCGACGTTTAATGAATGGAAGTTGACCATGCTAATCAGCTTGCTTGAGCGTGAAGCATTTGCTCCAGCCCTTTTTCGTGTAAAAACCGAAACGTGGCGGACGTCGAGGAGGTTTGCGTGCGAAATGGATGCACATGGAAAAGGCAGATTCGCGCTAGGAAGAGATTGTTTCTTCCGCAGTGCAAAGACCAGTACTTTATAGCAAAAAGGCTTAAAATTTGAAAATGCAGCGGAAATCACAAAAGTCAGAAACCTTCTGCATATGCAAGTGTAGATAGTTGTTAGAACAGCCAGGAACCAATAATCAGTCAGATATTTGTTGCAACAATTTTTGAATGACATAATATCGAAGTGAAACTTTTAATATGAAGAAAAATGTGCGTAGAGAGAACTTGAACTTTTCGGATTATTTGTTACACTTGCACTGCATCGTGCTCTTAGTATATACCGGACATTCGCGAATATAACAACTGAAGTCCCTGAGGAGTAATGTTGTGAAAAGGTCGAAAAGCTCAAGTTACCTTTGTACGACGATTTGTTAAAAGTTTCCTCTACCTGCTATTACGCCGTTTCAGAATTCGAATAAAGCGTGGTGTTGCGGCGCTGCGGCACAAGTTTGATAAGTATGCAAGTTTAAAATTAAAGTACACTTTCTGATGTGGCAAAACTAGTCTGTTCTGAAAAACAGAACAGTAATATAATACTAGCTGCTTAAGCATCTATTCTCATATCCTGTATAGCGACGTAAGAACGCACTACCCATGCCAAAGGATGGTTTTTTACAAAGGTCGCAGGTATGATGAGGCTCGACGAGCTTCGCAGTACATCAGACCGTTACCCCTATTTGCTGACCACCACTGTCGAGGTTCACCGTTGCAACGGGTAGAACATATAATCAAGTTGCCAGCCATAAGAACTTTCCATATAGTCGCACAGTAGATCGTCAAGAGGTAGACTGTGAACCACATGAGCCAAACATTGTATGTGTCTGTCAAGTAAAATCCATGATAATTTGATTACAGATTTGCAGTACACGAAATTGAAAGCTTATGAAGTCTCGTCTGGTAAGTTGTAGTTCGATCATCAGTTTTTTAAAGAAGTCGATATAATCTGGATGCATGCAGGAAATTATTATACTTGCAGACCTCTGTCATCCAACATATCAGTAGTGGTTTGATCCTGTGTACTATTCAAGATCGTCGTAGTATTGGGTTACTTATACCACAGTTATAATTATTACTACCCGTTTGAAAGCTTCAAATATGAGAGGATCGGTACATGAGCTAGTGTCAGTGCACTCTTTAGGGCATTGCCGCGTCATCCTTCGTGCTACACACGATCGCTTCCGTTTTTTCATATGTAGCATAAATTAGGTAGCCGCAAAACTCATTCAAAGTACCTTCAGTTCATTTCCGGCGATAACGCAAATATTTAACTGGTGTGGTTGTAGTACAAAGCTCGAAGAAGACTACAAGTTTTCCTAGCTGCAGTTGACAGTGACGTAAAATTTTGAATAGCTTTTTATGCATTACGTAGTGTATATTGCGAGTCGCCTGCGTATTTTGTCAGATCGATATGTGTGATTTTCTACGCTTTCACAGAACGACAGTCTCCGTGCTGATATGGATCGATAGAGCTGTTATCATAGTTGCAGTAGCCGTTGGGTCGCGGCCTGATTGTTTTCTGCCGAACTATGAGATTTGTCCGTGAGGAAACAACCGAGTCTGTGAGGTTGCTCATTTAACGTTTTGTGAGTTTAACCGTTTTCCCCATGTCCTCTTCATTTGCACTGTCTTATATTTTATTTCGCTGCTGCATTTAAGATTCGATAACTATTCGGCCAATGTGATGGTGGATGGCAAACCGATCAACTTGGGTCTTTGGGATACGGCGGGCCAGGAGGACTATGATCGACTGAGGCCGCTGTCTTATCCACAGACAGTAAGTTGATGTTTCTTCTGGCATTTCTTCCTTTCATCGTTTCGAATTCTACAGGACGTATTTCTTATATGCTTCTCACTCGTAAATCCAGCCAGTTTTGAAAACGTCAGAGCAAAGGTATGTGCTGTTTGCACTGCCGGGTAGTTTGAACATGATTATTTTGTGTCTTTTCAGTGGTTCCCAGAAGTTAGTCATCATTGCAAAAACACGCCTATCATACTTGTGGGCACAAAGCTGGACTTAAGAGAAGACAAAGAGACGCTCGAGAGACTGAGGGAAAGACGATTATCTCCCATCGGGTATCCGAATGGATTGGCGATGGCAAAGGAGATAGGTATTTCGTCAGTTTTATTCGTTAATTGCAGTTATCACTTGTTACGACAAATTGAACATTGTCTACTACCGGTGTTTGTTTTTTCATTTGCTCACTCGTACCATATAGCTCAGCGTATAACTTAATTGCTTGCTTATAGATTCGTGAAATTTTTGCAACAGAAAATCAGCAAATAAAATGAATACATCAGTGGAATTGTAGTTTAGTATTTCCCCAAGACCGCTTTAGCTACTGAGAATTGCCGATTTCAGTTGCGTAAAATATTAGTGTTCGTATATCACATTCTTGTTATCCCATTGCATCGAAGAAGACGCCGAGTGTCCTGAAGGTGTTCCATCTGAATCGAATAAATGGGTGCTCACTCTGCGGTCCTTTCGATGTCACGTCAGTTACAACGACTTCTTCCTATCTTGTTGAAGATCTTCCTGGCGGCCGCTTGGCAACAGGTTTCGCGGTCAGTAGGCGCTCACAAGTGACTATTGTTCATTCTTTGACATCGACCCCACCATCTTAAGCGCGTTTTATGCAACCAATAGATCACTTAGTTGGATACTCTAATCCCTCTTTTACAACAGCATTTGATACCACGTCATCTTTACTCCTAATATTGATCTTTTTTGACTATTCATTTCTGTCGCTTCCGCTTTTCTGTTTTCACCTTGGATGATCCCCTCTCCAAACCATAGATCAGGATTTGCAAAATGCCATATTCATATATCCTTAGTTTTACTACTGCCAACATTTTTCCTCTTCCAGGATTTGAATAACTTGTTGCACGCTGCCAATGCTAATGAACAGTGCCTCTTATCTTTGCCACTAGTCCATCTGTAGCCAGTGTATTCCCCCTGCCGATGTTCTGGTACATTTTTACAGCTTGGGTGTCAAGAATCAGACAGTGTTTGCTTTGGGTTCTGCCATTTTCCATCCACTTCGTCTAATTTGAATTAATGGGGTTTCACATCACCTCTGTTCAACAGTGGTGTCGCAGTCTCGAAGTTGTCTGCAAGCAATACGATATTATCCGCAGATATAAGAGCACGCAGTTGTTGCCTACTCTTGCTGCCATAGCTTCTTTTCTTCATGTTGGATGGAGCACCAAGTGAAGAAGCATCGCAAACAGCAGTAGAGATTTCACGTTCCTTCCCTTACTCCAAACTTTGTAGTAAAGAATGTGTCGAATTTGCCGTCACTTCACACTGCACTTGACGAAAGATGATGCGCTGTCTTAATTATGCGAATGATCTTTAGTAGGACTCCGCATTATTCACCCACTTTCCACAGCATATGTTTTCAGGTTGAGTCAAACGCTTTGTTGAAATCGATGATTGTTGCAAAAATTTTGATCCCAATTTTTTTTTCATTTCCATTCGCTGTCTCATTGTGAACATCTGGTCCATACATCCGCTGTCTGTCCTGAGTCTAGACGGATCTTCACTTTAGCAGGAACGGATAGCAGGCTGAATTTTGATGCTAGCAACAGCCTTTCTTGAAGATTGGGACTGCAGTATCTTTCATCCAGTCAGTTGTAATTTTCTCTGCCGCACCATTCTTAGGTGCTTTGTTAATGCTAGAATTCCGTTCAGTCCAGATTCCTTAATTAGTTCTGGTTGTATATCATTAATTCCCCCAGCTCTTCCGTTTTTAGTTCACTTAAGGTTTCAGTCTCTTCTTAAAGGATCGGCGATCCAATATCAACATCTTTTGTCCAGGTATAATATTACATATTACACTGAATCTTGTCTCACAATTGCATCAAGGTTTAGTAGCGATTCAGAGTGTTTCCCCCATATCTCAATGACTTATGTACCGATTATCTTGAACAAGGTCTTCATATTGTTTCCGAGCTGTTTCTTTCATTATTTCAACCTGTCTCTTCAAGAAGATGGCAGTATCCCTCCTTGATGATTTTTAATTTCTTTCTTTACTTCTTTTCCGAAAGTTTGCTTGTTATCAGTCTTGCAAAGCCTGCTCTTTACTTGCGACCATTTGGCTTCCAGTCTTATCCACGGCTTTCATCGTCTTTCCTTCCGTTCCATTTGCCGTTGTTACTATTGCTTCTTTATGTATGTCGCTAGGTTTTGTACCGATATGTCGCCTCTACCGATCATGACTTGATATGCTTGCACTTCATCTTCATCTTCCATCGCCGCTTCTCCTTTCGGATCGCGGAGGCAGACGCGTCAGACAGTGCTTCCAACGTTCCCGATCCTGTGCCAGAGTTGAGCTTCGGCGAAGGACAAATACTGTCTGGAACAGACTCCTTCCATATGTTTGCACCAGGTTAATCTTGGCCGTCCCCTGGGCCTTTTGCCG